TGAAAGTTAGAAAAACATGGTTCTTGAATGAAACAAGTGGTGCAAATAAAAGTGGTGCAAGAGAACACTACATGTATACACATGGCTGAAACGGAAAGAGTGAAAAACAGAAGTAAAAATATTGACATTAGGTATCATAATGTAAGAGAGGCTATAAGAGAGAAATTAATTGAATTAGAATATTGTCAAATTGAAGATAACATAGCTGATATACTGACCAAACCTTCATGTACACAGAAGCATGAGAAATGTGTAAATAAGCTGGGAATGTGTTATGTTCAGGCATAAAAATTAGGAGGGGTGTCAGAATATAGAAATTTTATAAGCCTGAACCTGTATATGTGTTTCATTAACGAGCTGCCATTGTGCACAGATGTGAGAGTGCTGAATCACTCTGGACATGATGTAATGACTTGAAACCAGGAGAAGACCAGGTGCAAAGCATGAAGTCATCTGTTTTCTGATTGGACAAAATATGCCATGTATATGTATATAAGTGGACTGTGTCTTTGCTTCTCTCTCTTCCTCCACTATCACTTGCTGCCACACATGCTGTCAGACTGTACAAAGAGTTCCTGCTGTGCTGTTAAGATACCTGCCTGTATATAACTGTAAATACGTGTAAATACAACCGTCTTGCAACAAAAGAATAACTCTGCGTTTTCTACTGTCGCCAAAACTGTAACATGTTCTTGGACTACAATTCCCAGAAGCCTTCACCACCACCTCTGCTGGCCAGAATTTCTGGGAGTTGAAGTCCAAGAACATCTGGAGGCCCAAGGTTGGAGACCACTGGTTTAGAGGATTCTGTGGCACCCCTGGGTTGGTTTCCTGGTGCCCCATAGAGCCACAGCGCAGAGTTTGGGAACCACTGAACTTCTCTGTGTTCAGATTCTGTGGTAAACAAGCTGCTGTCCAGCATGTTCCCCGTCTGCTCTGTTCATTCTGAGTTCCTTCAGATTCAGGCTAGTTCTAATGTTGGTGAGTTTCCCAGTGTGGGCTTCCCACATTGCACTCCAACGGGGCTGATCCCTAGGGTGCTTTGCTGCTTTGTGTCTGAGTAATGGTCTCATTCCTTGGCAGGTGTGCTACAATCAACAGCCTGGGGCTCGGGGAAACCATGTCCTTCAACTGCGGAGGGATGCAGGGCCAGTACGTGACCATTACCATCCCTGGGAGAAATGAATTCCTCTCACTCTGTGAAGTCCAAGTTCTTGCACACCCATGGCTTCACATAGGTGAGTAGGTGGCTCATATTCAAGATGGGGTGGAATCCTGATAATCCTGTTTGTTGCGGCCCAGCTGCAGGCTCCACCTGGACTGGAATAGCTATTTCAAGACCTGTTGGCCCAGTGCCTGCATGTCTGCCATTTGATGATGTGTGGAAGGAATGTTGGCATCAGAGGACAAAGAGTACAGAGTGTGCACCTGAAGACCAGATGTCTCCCATGATCAATCCCAGCCTTCTAAGAGCCATTTCCTCTCATCAGTCTCAGGAGAAGCCATTCTTTTAATGTTTCTATGCCTGCTTTCTCTAAGGAAACTTGACCACCTCTGTCCTTTCCTGGTTTCCCACAACCCACCATTTGGTTAAACATAAGGCTTATCAGTGATATGATACCTTCATTAAGCAATGTTAGAAACTCAGACATTACTTTTATTTTTTTTGGTAGTTCATGATGGAGGGCGGAGTCCTGTGAGAGACAGTGAAACAGATTTAGGTATGTTCTCCTTTATGCTTCTTATTGGTGTTTAATTTTAATCTCTTCAGTGGAAGGCCCTCAATGTGTTTCTAGAACAGTAGCTGTGCTAGCCATAGAACTAGTCAAGATACCAATTGTATAATTAGGAGAAGGGGAGGATTTTTGCTCTAAAGAAGCAGCTGTTCAAGGTTGCCATAACCTACCAATTACTGAACAAAAGCAAGTGAATAGTTTGTTTTAACCGTTAGGATGCTGCATCAGAAATAACAAAAGAGATTTGTGGTGTCTCATTGACTAACAAACTTACCAATTTTTTGATGTTTGTTTGCTTCTTTCCAGTTCTTGTAACTAAAATAAACCAATGATAATAGAAATTTGAAGACAGATAAAACAAAACTTTTTTTGTGTGTAGCTTGTAAGTTTGGTATTTACTACCAGAGGATGTTATGATAGCCATCGGTTTGGAAGGCTTTTAAAGAGAGATTAAAAAAATGCATGGAAGATAAAGCCAAAGTGGTTTTAGAAAACCACCAGTATCAGCGGCAGCCTACTTCTCACTGCCTGTTGCTGGAAATGATTTGTAGGAAGATGCTGTTATACTTATGCCCTTTGCATCTAGTTAGCCTATTTGGGAAAACAGTCCTTTTTAGAAGAACCTTTGCTCTAATCCAGCATGACTCTTCTTTCTATGAACACTTCTATGAACACTCAGAATTAATATTGATTCTTAGGAAAAATGTGTTATTAGGGATTTAGACCCAGAGAGAATACAAGCATGACTACAACTATCCATTAGTTACTTCAGTATGATTGATGATGCTACAGCTCTCAGAATCTGCCAGTTAGCATGTTCACTGGAGATTAGCTAAGGGAGTCTGGGAAATGTAGTCTGAAAAATAAATTTCCCCTGTTCTGACTTAGGCTTCTTTGCGGGCTGGTTCAAGAGGGTGTGCTGTCTAGAGCTCTGGGTTAAGAAACAAGCAGCAGCTGTGATGTTACTGTATTAAACATGGACCTCCTAGAAATTCCATGTGGACTTATTGTGCTAAGTAACTGATTTCTTGGCACTATCATCTCTTGTAGGTCTGCAGGGCAGAGTGCTGAGTTTTCACAATCAGTCCAAGAGCAGTTTTGTTATCATCTCTCCAATGCAGCCCCTGAATCTGATGGAGTTCACACTATGCATGCGAGTTGCAGTTGAGGATCTGGGCGAACGCAAGGTCATCCTTTTCTCCTACCACTCTCAGAATGATGAACTGAGGATCTTTCGTGAAGGAAAGGGCCGCTTCAGTTTATACATGGGGGGTCAGAATGTCATGTTTGCCCTCCCTGATCTCAGCACTTTGGGGAGCCACATATGTGTGACCTGGGAATCCAAGCTTGGCCTCACAGCCTTTTGGATGAATGGACAGAGAAGCATCCGAAAAGTGCATAATGTGGGGCATATCCTTCAGTCAGGGGGCACTGCGATTCTTGGACAGGATCAAGGGGTGCAAAGTATGTCAGAACAGGAGGAGCGGCGTTTTGTGGGGGAGATAACGGAACTTTACATGTGGGATTATGTGCTGAAATCAAGTGATGTGCAGGATGTATTCCAGGTCCGTCAGTTTCCTAAAGGAAACATCTTTGACTGGAAAATGTTATCATACAAAATTACAGGGAGCGTGAAAGTATTGCCTAGGGACTAATGACTAAGGAGGATATACATTGACATCACTGTGCATGTAGTTTTCCATTTTGTAAAAAAGCATGAATTCCCTGCCTCTGAGCTGTGGAAACTAGATGACAAAGTCTTGAAGTATTTGCACACTTACTGTATATACTCAAGTATAAGCCATACCCCTTGGCTTATACTCGAGTCAGTGTCAAAATTACATGTTCTCCCCTGCAATGCTGGTGTTCTCTGGACTCCCCCACACATCTACGGGTGCCTGCAGCCTCTGTGGGTGGTCCGATGACCCAGGTTAAGTACACTGCATTTCTGCTTCCAGGACACTCCCATCCTCCTCCTCCTCCTCTATGTACCCACCTTCCTCCTCCCACCTTCCTCCTCCATTCTCTGTCTCCCTCCATCTTGTTACACAGCAGTACAGAAGTAGATAAGCGCAGCATCCGGTATGAGTCCTCCCTCCACAGGCAGTGAAGTGTGTCTCGCAGCTCAGAAGGGCAGTATCTTCAAAAACATTTTCTAGATTTTGTACATCTTAATCATGTCCCCCCTTTTCTCTAGACTAAAGAGCCCCAAATGCTGTAGCTTTTCCTCATAAGGGAGGTGACCCAGCCCAATCATCATTTGAGTTGCTCTCTTCTGCACCTTTTCCAGTTCCTCTATGTCTTTTTTCAGGTGCGGCAACCAGAACTGTACACAGTACTCCAGGTGCAGCCTCACCAGTGTTTTGTACAATGGCATTCTAATGTTGGCTGTTTTATTTTCAGTTCCCTTTTTAATGATACCTATGATGGAACTGGCCTTCTTCACTGCCGCCACACACTGGGTTGACCCTTTCATCGAGCAGTCCACTGGAACACCAAGATCTCTTTTCTGATCCGTCATGGACAGCTCAGAACCCATTAGCCAATAAATAAAGTTTTGAGTTTTGGCCCCAATGTGCATTACTTTACATTTTCTTATATTGAAGCACATTTGCCATTTTGCCGCCCATTCTCCAAGTTTGGAGAGATCCTTTTGGAGCTCTTCACAATCCCTTCTGCTCTTCACTACCCTGAAAAGTTTTGTGTCATCTGCAAACTTGGCCACCTCACTGCTTATCGCTATCACCCAGGTCATTTATGACACAGGTTGAAAAGCACGGGTCCCAGGGCAGATCCCTGGGGCACACCGCTCTTCACCTCTCTCCACTGTGAAAATTGCCCATTGACACCTAATCTCTGTTTCCTGGTTCTCAACCAATTCTCAGTCCATAAAGAGGACTGTAGGGATCACCCTGCTTCGGCTCAGGTAGAAGATTGTTGGCATGTACCAATGAGAGCTGTTGGGAGGCAGAGCTAGAGAAACCAGAAGGGAGGGGTGAGTCAGAGTCTAGTGAGTTCAGTCAGAGACAGAGAAGAGAGAAAAGAGTTTTGGGGGTTCGAGGCAGAGAGAGTGTTTAAGGAGTGATTAGTCAGAGTGTGACCTGTATTAATGAAGATAGAAGAGGTTAAAGTAAAATACTGAAGCTTTGTGTAACTTTTAGAATGTGCTTAAGAACTAGTCCTAAAACAACGTGTAATTAATAAACCTGTTTCTGTTTAAAAGTTCAGTACTGAACAGACCTCAGTCTTTCATAGGAAATATAGGTTGATAAAGAGATCAACTGGTGGGAGTGTGTTAAAGGGCGTGTTGGGATACCTTTGTGAGCTCTTTGTTTGGTGAAACAAGCAGGGGCCACGGGGTAAACGTCACAAGGACCTGCCCTCTTATCCCCTGACGGTGGAGTTTTCTCGGCAGCCTTGGTAAGGGACCATGTCAGACGCCTTCTGAAAATCCAGACAGACAATATCAACATGCTTGCTGACCTTTTCAAAGAATTCTAAAAAGTTTGTGATGCGAGATTTACCCTTACAGCTGATTTTCCCTCAGCAAGGCTTGTTCTTCTATGTGTTTTAAGATTTTATCTTGGATGAGGATTTCCACCATCTTCCCTGGAACAGACGTTAGGCTAAGCAGCCTGCAGTTTTCTGGGTCCCCCCTCCCCCCTTTTTAAAGATTGGCGTGACATGTGCTATTCTCCAGTTGACTGGCACGGTGGCCATTTTAAGGGACAAGTTGTATATTTTAGTTAAAAGACCAGCAACTTCAGCAGCAGCAACTTCATGCCTCCGTTCCTTAAGCTGCTCCTGATGCCTCCATTCAGGAGCCAGGCTGTTGCCTACCCCCATGCATGTACTGAGCAGCTGATAGCACAGAAGAGGCAGGCCCCCTGAAACTGGAGGAAGGCAGAGGGCTTTTCATTGTGACACTCTAGCCTGCTGTACTCTGACAGCAGGTTCTCCAACCCCCTCTGCCTCTTGCTGGAATTTGCCCTGGTGACACTCTGTGTAAGGCTAGAGCATCACCAGGTCAACTTACAGGAAAAGGCAGGTTGGAGCACCCGCCCTCAGATTACATCAGGCTAGAGCATCACCAGGGTGACTTACAGGAAGAGGCAAGTCAGAGGACTTGCCCTCCAACTACAGGGAGCTAGAGCATCCGATGCAATGACTTTGTAGATGGTGGCAGCGGCAGCAGAAAGGCTGGCAGGGGGCCATAGGGACTTGGCAAAGCAAGTCAGACAAACGGGTCCATGTTGCAAGCTGCATCAGAAAATCCCAAGTCAAGTCGCAGATGTGGCTCAAGTCTGACTCAGCAGTGAGTCCTGATCCCTGAAATGAGAATGATTTTTGCTTGTCTCTTAAAGGTCTGTTTGAGAACCTGCTTGCAGCCAAATCTTCTTAAGCTATTTCACAATATGGCAAATTCAAAGAAGATGACTTGATTTGATTTGTTTTCACCAATCTCACATACACTGGAAATGAACAAAAAAAAGGCAATCCTTCCCATACCCCAAATTAGACACTCCTGGCAAGGGCCAGAAAGGTGTGATTAGGAATGCTTTGCTCCAACAAAGGCATCCGATCACTGGCTTTAGAAGCGAACCAGCTTATCTCCACAGCAGACCAAACAGGCAGCTAAATGCCCATGTATTCACCCTCTTAGTTGCATGTTAAGGGTTTCTCTTCCCCTTCTTTTTAAAGAACAAATGAGAGCAAGGAAAACTAATTGCTGCTTTTGATCTAGCAATTTATTCACGAAAAAGCATTTTTATGGTAGAAAAAGGAGATCTTGGTTAAGAAATGCAAAACATCTTTCCCTCTTTAGATAGGTGGCATGCAGTTCTGTGGCTCTTTAAAAGACATAACACCTCATACTTACTTATATTGTCTGCTGAAAGTCTCTGTAACACAGTGGGTGAAAGGAGTGTGGCTTTTAATCGAAAAACCAGTTCAAAATCAGGTCAGTACCAAGAACTGTGGTGCTGGAGGAGGCTCTTGAGAGTCCCCTGGACTGCAAGGAGAACAAACCTATCAATTCTAAAGGAAATCAACCCTGAGTGCTCACTGGAAGGACAGATCTTGGAGCTGAGGCTCCAGTACTTTGGCCATCTCATGAGAAGAGAAGACTCCTTGGAAAAGACCTTGATGTTAGGAAAGTGTGACAGCAAGAGGAGAAGCGGACAACAGAGGATGAGATGGTTGGACAGTGTCTGTGAAGCTACCAACATGAATTTGACACAACTCCGGGAGGCAGTGGCAGATAGGAGGGCCTGGCATGCTCTGGTCCATGGGGTCACAAAGAGTCGGACACGACTAAACGACGACCAAGAACTTGAATCCAAACACTGGGTTCTTTTCTTCTTTCCAAAATAGATCCCACACAAATCACCACTTTGCACAACCACAGTGTGTATGAATGGCTGTTATCCCAGCTTCTTTGTAGTATGCATAACAGGGAGTTGCTGTGAATGTGACAACAGGCAGATACACAGGTGCACTCATGCATCCACATTTGATTTATATTGTGTGCAAAACCACTGATGTTACAAATGGGGCTAGAGATTTTGAAAATCTTAATGCAAAGATTCTTAGCGCAAACGAGCATTACTGTGTGAAAAACATTCTGATTCATTTTTCTGTGTTCTGCAAGGTGCAGTCATCATATAACCTTTATGGACTGTTTGGTTCAAACCAATGGGTAGGAAGGGGTTGTGATTCAAGGACTGAATTGAGAAAGATCTGGAGATGCATGGGTTGCTGTTCCCCTGGGGGATGATAAGGCCCTTGCCACCTTGGCTTAGGTAGCAGAATATCAATATGTTTGCGCAGGAGGGGCACTGGAAGGCTGAATCCATATAGTGATTGTGTATTTGCAATTGCATTTTTTTTATTTTAGGGCTTCAATGGCTGTACACTTGGATTTGTTTGCTTCATATAGTGGATCTCCTAACTCTGTCAAATATATGTGGGACTTTTTTTTATTTGGCTTCAAAGAGACAATTGTATTTTTCCTTGTTTCTTCGAGCAACACCTGCTCTGGAGCTGGTGAAAAGAACCTGGGATGTTCAAATAGTAGCATCTGGTTTTAGGCTGTGTATATATCACTGTTATTGTCACTTGTTCATTCTCTCTCTCTCTCAAAACATTTTTGTAAAGTTTGTATTCACAATAAAAAAAATCCAAATTTATTTCTGTATTGTTACCTTTACATCCTGCCTTTCCACCAAGATACTCAAGGTAGTACAGATGTTACTTTCAGTCCATTTTTACCCTCACAACTACTTTTCATCTCTCTCCATTGTGAAAATTGCCCATTGTTCATTTACTTCCATTTCTTTTTGTCCAGTGTGCAGACCTATGTATAAAAATGAATTAGAGGCGTTAACAAGGCAGAGTGGCACATCCACAGAAGGTTCACATTCAATTTGCCACTCCTCCATCATGATTAGAAGTGGGGAAAGAGAAAGGAAGACAAAGGAAAGTATGCTTTTTGCCTGAGAAGTGAACTTCCGCTGCCTCTCCTAGTATAAAGTCATTGCTGAAATCATCAAACTCCTGTGGTGGCAGCCGAAATAATTTTAGATCCAGGGCACAGGAAGAGTGGGGTCAGAGAGAACAGGCAGAAGGTGTAGAAAAGGAGGCTCCCTGCACTTCCTTTTAAAGAAAGAATCAAAGAGACGTGCCCGTTCACTTGGGGTATGATTAGATAGTCAAGTCATCCTAGGTGGGATTAGGCTAAACAGAGTCACTACACAAAGTGTAGTATGCCATGTAAAACGATCTTTGAATTCACACACAAGCACCTGGTAGTTTCAGGTGCTGTTTTCCTCCACATTTCATCTTCACAATAACCCTCTAACATAGGTATGAGGGTATACTTGGCCCAAGGTCACTCAATGAGTTTTAATGGCTGGGGAGAGATTTGAATTCAGCTCTACCAAGTCCCACTCCAACAATTTAACCACTACATCACATGGTTACTGAAAGGAAGGTGGTATATTGGCCAGGAGAAGGGTTAAGTGTTCTCCTTCACCCATTACTTCTGTATTACAGCTGTCCCCACCACATCCTGCTGCTTTGTGGCAGGGCTGAATCCTATTAAGCCTATGAAGTGGTCATTAAAGTCATTTCACCTGAAGGCTTTGGTCTGAGATTAAGATCTGATTCCCTGTTATGAGGTCTTCCATGTTCTTTTCCCACATGGTCCTGTTAACACTGTACATTGTGTTTCCATTACAAGTTCTACTCAAGGAAGCATAAGAAAAGTCATACGTACCTTTCTTTCTGTCTATTTTGTCCTGTAGACAAAACAAAGTAAGATGCTTAAGATTTCCACAGTCTTCACTTGGTGATCAAATGATCAACTGATGACACAAGCTTGTGTGTGTGTTTGTATAGATAAGATGTGAGATGCAGAATACTTGAGACCACAGCTGGGGAAAGCACCACATACAGGTTGTATTACTTCTGACTACGTGCAGGTCCCATCAGCGCCGCCACGTCCCCCATATACAGTCTAGTATTGAATAAACTTTATATACGTATTTTGGAGGTCACTTTTGCATGTGGTTGCTATTGGTCAGAAGCTACCTGAACCATGTGAGAACAAAGATTTACTATATTGAGCTGAATAAAAGAATAAAGGGAAATAATATTGGAGAATGCAAGAGGGATTTATAAATATTATTAGAAGTATCTCTATGAAAGAGCTAACAGAGTGGCTGTACAGTGTTGTATATACAGTATACTTCGTGGTGATCTCAGCCTGTGCCTCCTACACATCTTAGTTGTTCTACTTTAAGGGTGAACAGTGGCTCCTTGTTGCACATCATAGTTGTCACAGAATTACACAACTACCCCAATTCAGTCTGGTTTTACACACTTGTCCAAAATTAGTGCATTTTTTCTGTTTTACTTTTAAAACATATTATACTTTTCTAAAGCAAAGTAGTACTTATTTTCAGGCCAAACTGTTTAGCCTTAGACCAACAGAAGCAGGCCATATTTTTGTCCTGCACTGTGGTTCTATGGTTTACATCAGTTTAAAATGCAAAATTGAGTAGACAAAGGTTTTTTTTTTAAGAGAGTTGGCCTTTATTTGCTCAAACACAATAGGGATATGCAAATCATTGTAAATGACCCACCCCATGTATAAATCTGATTCAGCAGCAAGCCACATGGGCAACATGGAGTGGAGAGGGGACACCATCTTGTCTTTTGCCTGAGGTAAGATTATTATGTCTGGCCCTGGATATAATGTTAGGTCCTGAGTACAATAAGATGTTTTTTCCTCATTTCTCTTTGCTTCCTCAATTCATCATGCAGACGTTGTTCATCATGTTATTTTTGCCCAAGGCAAAATTATGTTCTACCAGAAATTCAAAAGAACATCGTGGGTCCTTTGTTCTTATTGGAGGATGGCAGCATCTCAAGAGATATATATTGGCCTCTTCCAGTTCCAGCTTTATTCAACAGAACGTTCAGCAAGAAGTTCTTCTCTAAGCCTGATACCCTTGCTTTATATCCTGGGACACTGTGCTGCTTTTCAGCATGAAGCATTGTCTCTGTCTTCTGCTTTTGGCCATTGGGTCAGCATTGGCTTTTGTTAAAGGTATGTTGACAGGGCTGGATACCTGTTTCCTCTTATTTCCCTCTCTCCCCTGGCCCCTCTCTCCACCATATTTAGGGACTGAGGCATGAGGTAGTGTTTCAACTTGCATCGTTTTGTCTTTGGCTCATATGATCGCCATATCGCTCCTTTGTGGCTGCAGCCTGGTATCTTCTGTTTACATTGAAGGTGATGCCTTCAGTGTTGCAGAGTGTGTTGGTCGAATGTTACTTCCTAATGGCTCAATTGAGTACTCTGGTACTTTGTAAACAGAACAAAGAAAGAGGTGGGGCTGGTAAAGAAGACAGTGGGGATAATGGCAGAGAGGAGGGTGTGTGGTAGGTACTACAGAAAAAAATATACCTAACTTGACCCTTTGCCATTTGCCACTAGCGATGCAACTTTCTGTGGAAATTCAACATTTCCTCTAAACAATGACAATGTTTTCAGCCAGTAGAAAGTGCCAGGCTGTGTCCTAGAAAACTCTCAGCGCAGGACAACCTTTTGTATAAGTTGCCCCCTATGCCTTCTTTTCCATCAGCATCTTGTAGATTACAACAGTATAATTGGGAAACCCTCTTACCTGGAAGAATCCTCATTAACTTGTAGAATGTCTTAAAATAGCAGAGAGGAAAGAAGAGAGAGTTGTACACCTTTATACATCCTTCAAAATTGAGCCAATAAGTATATCTTTTGAAAACATCAAGACATGTTTAGCCCACAAGGAGAAGGCAGCCCCTCCAAATCAAGAAATCATTCTACACTCACATCACAGTCTCCTTTTCCTTCTGCCAACTTTCTTCCAGCTTTCCAAAACTACCTGCACTGCATTAACTCCCAGGGCATCCTGGAAATCCATCTAAGGAGACAAATGCCTTAAACCCAACTGAGAAAATACCTTGTTTGTTGTTGTCGTGTGTTGTCAGTCAGAAGAGAGATAGTTAAAGAGTGGTTTTACCAGTTACACTTCCACCATCAGTTTCCATGGCCAAGCAGCTATTTGAACCCTGTTCTCCAGAGCCCCAATCCATCATTCTATCCACTACAATTATTAACTCTTTTAACTCTGTTTCCCCACTGGTCTCTTTATTTTATGCAGTGACATCTGATGGCTCATGTGCTAAGCAATGGACGGAAATAGGAGTGAGCTGTTACCGCTATTTCAGCAAACCCATGACCTTTGAAAAAGCTGATGTAAGAAGCAATTTCCCATTGTAGTAGCACTGGGAGGGATAAACGAGTTCTGTCTGCCAGTACTGAAGGGAGAAGACCGTAACTATAGTGGTGGTTATAGTATCATTTCAAATGACATACAAGGGCCTCATTTTATTTTGCCAGTGGTCTAGGTGGATATATGACTTTGGTAGTGCAGGCTAGACACAGGAATAACTTGAACATAACTTATTCCTCGGGAAAGCCTGGGGAGTAGTCCAGGCCTACTGGGGGAAGCCCTCCCCTGGTAGGCCTGGTCCACCCTGGGAAAGCCTGCGGGAGCAGGGGACCTCAGAGAGGTCTGCCATGGCAGCGGGGAAGGCCTCCGGAGGTCCACTCGCTGGCGATCGAGCCTCCGAAGCATGATTGGCAGCGAGGGGGACCTCCGCAGGCCTTCCCTGCCGCCATGGGAGGCCTCTCGGAGGTCCCCGCCACCGCCGATCGTGCTTTGGAGGCTTGGTTGGTGGCGGCGGGACCTCCGAGATATCTCCCATGACGGCGGAGAAGCTCTGGAAGGCATCCTGAGGCACGATCGGCGGCCTACGGACTGGAAGGGGGAGGCGGGGAAAGCGCCAAGTTTCAATTTGGTGCTTTCCCTGCCTTCCCCTTCTGGTCTGTTTCGAATCTCCGGCTGCAAGTCGATTGGAAATCTTGTAGCCGGAGAAGTCTGCACGTCGAAAAGTACACATGGCGAGCTGTACATACGTCGAGGGTCCACTGTACATCCCCCCTCCCCCACTTAGCTGCAGTACATTTTGGCTTTAATAGAAATAGATGAAAACAAATAAGACAAAATTAATGTTGCATTTAATTGGGACAGCGAAGTATATGATCAGTGACCACTGGAAAAGTCAGAAGCACACGTTGGTTCAGTCATAAGCAGGTTTTAGTTAATGAATAGCTCAAGAAAGTATGGGATAGTTTAACACAGTCCAGTCTTCATCTCTGTTCTTCCGCCCTTGACTAATTTGCCCTTTGGAGCCGTGGAAGACCTGTGCAACAGAGGGGCTACAGGACTGGGACGAATGTGGGCTTACTGTGCTGGGCAAAGGGACCTGTCCTTGCTTGTCTCCTGCTTGCATGCATTTCTCATAGCATGCCTAGACTTGTCTTAGATATAGAGCTCTTTCATCACAGGACCACTTTGCACCCATTCATTACACCTTGTCTTAGATACAGAGCTCTTTCATCACAGGACCACTTTGCAAACATAGAAATCGTGGCCCACTTTGACTGATACCTGGATAAACTTGTGGTTCTCGAATTGGGTAACCCAGATGTTCTTAGACTGCATCTTCCAGAAACCCTGGGCAGCAACGTTGGTGGCGAAGGCTTGTGGGAGTTGCAGTCCAAGAAGACCTGGGTTACCCAAATTTGGGAACCACTGATCTAGAAGAATTTTCTAACAGTTGAGACTCATATCAGTCCATCCCCTCAGGGTGTTGCAGGTAAGCCTTATTCAAAGGGACTCAAAATGAAAAACTAAGCTGGGGCTGAGTTCTGACATTAGCACAGCCAGTGACGTCTGTGATTTGCTTTGTGTCCCCATGTAGTTAAAGTGCAAAACGTCCTTCAGCTCTCGTCTTGCCTCCATTCATTCTAAAGAAGAAGCCTGTAGCCTCGCCAAGTTTGCTGCTTCCCAGAAGCCGAAGGCAAATATTTGGATAGGTCTCACTGATTTATCCATGGTAAGTAGCTGCAAACACTTCGGTGCTGAACTTCTAAGGAGACGTCTGAATTTCATCCTTCTGGCTGAAATCACTTGAGTGATTTAAAGATTTGAATTTGGTAGACCTTTGTGTCCCAGAAACCCGATATCCAAATGATGCCAGTATTTATACTCAGAAGGTCAGCCACAAAATAAAGGAAGCTAATTTGCAATCTACAGAAGATGTGAAAAGCTCCTTTTATAACAACTAGACATTTCAGAAGCAATTCCTTCTTTTTCTAATGATAAGCTATCTATAGTATACAATTGGGCCTTGAGAAGCACTATTTTAGTTTCTTAGTTCTGGGACCGAGTCCTTGTTAAATTTTTCCTATTGCCAGAATAATCCCCTCTCCCAGCTCTTGATACTTTTCTTCTTTCCCCTTCTCACATTATGAAGCCTTGCTTTTACTGATATAAGAATCCTGTATCTTGACCTTAGTATTCACCAGTAGATTTTAAGTGATATTTCAGCCAGGGTTCAGGAGTACTAACCCAAAAACAGAGAGTTGCAAAGCCATTATAAAGAGTACAAGTCCTCTGAGTGAAAGGGAAATGAATTTCACTTCCCAGTGTCCACAATCTTTGCCCTTCCTCCTGGGATGAAAAAGTCCCGTATTAAAATTAGGGGGACTGGTACCTGGAAAATGGGTACCAAGGTTCTCCACTAAATATGGAATGGGGACCATGTTGCACTATGACTAAGGGAGACAGATGAATACATTTGCATGCCTACTCAGAAGTCAGTTTCTTTGGCCAGTATCTTTTGAAGCAGGGGCTGGATGTTCCACTCTGCTCAAATTTTTCCATGTGACTTCTTGTGTTTTATTTCACCAGCTGGATATCACTGTTCCAGTGGAAGAGGCTTATGTGTGTGTGTGTGTGTGTGTTGTGCAAGTGAAGCAGTGCTGATCATCATAAAAGATTATAGGCCAGTAGACTGCACAAAGAGACCAGTAAACATTCTCCCCATTTCCTACACACACACACACACACACACACACACAGAGAGAGAGAGAGAGAGAGAGAGCAGTTCATGTTAACAGGATTCTATCCACTGAGTTTAAGGTTGGAAGAGTGCTGCTGTGTGAATGATTCACTCCATTCTGAGACATTTTCTCCAGCTGCTTCCAATGTCTTCATCTCCCTGTTAATGTTGCTGCTTGTCTTCTGCCAGAAATTTTACGTATTTCAATGGACTGATAGAACCCGGTTCAACCTTGAGGCTTGGGAAAAAGGTCAGCCAGCTAAGAAACCCAAAGAACACTGTGCACAGCTGTTGAGCTCTAGTGGTAAGTGAACAAAGGTTTTTTTGGACAGATGGTAAGGAAACAGGAGTGAAATGTATGTGTCTTCTACAACACCTTTAGCTCAATTGTTTTTCCAGACATCCCAGCTCTAACAGTTTATGACCTGGAGTTCATTTTACGTAGATTTCGATTTTAGTCCATAGTAACTGAAATTGCCTAAATCACAATGGCAAATTGCAGCTGCTTAATAAGGTGCGGATAGTATGCTTGATTTCATGGCTGGTATGGGACCAGGCACGTTGTTTCTACAACACCTTCAGCTCAATTGTTTTTCCAGACATCCCAGCTCTAACAGTTTATGACCTGGAGTTCATTTTACGTAGATTTCGATTTTAGTCCATAGTAACTGAAATTGCCTAAATCACAATGGCAAATTGCAGCTGCTTAATAAGGTGCGGATAGTATGCTTGATTTCATGGCTGGTATGGGACCAGGCACGTTGTTAATTTGCTGCAATTTGGCAACATAATTTATGTAACTTCAGTTTTTCTAGAATAAAATCCCCATGCCTTTGGCATATTTGGATCTGGGCTGAACAGCTCCAAACCTTGGAGGCGGAATGTGATGGAATTGGGGTTAAGGATGACCAAACGAAATAAATTCTCAGTTCTCAAAATCTGCAGACAATTGTCTTAGGTCCTCTCATCATGTCACCTGATCATCTTCTTTCTTACTTTTTATTTTGTACTAGAAAATAGTTGGGCCCTAAACCAAAAAAAAATGTTCATGCCAAGAGATGGGAGATTCTCTGATATTAATATGTAGGATGGGATTTTTCAAAATTAAAGGACTCCCAGTGCCATAATTTGGTGGGAGCCTCTGGGTCAAAGGATAGAAGCAGGAGCCCTGAAACGGACAAAAGGTAAAGCAGTCCCCTCACCTCCACACCTTCATTTCCACTCTACTTCTTCAAACTGTTTAAAGAGTGCCTTGCTGCATTGAGGGAGTCATGAGGATCCTCTGTGGATTGTGAAGAAGCTTGGGTGGGGGGACTTGTTCCTATATAGGGTGCCTCCATAGGGAGTGTATGGAAGCTGCTTTGATTGGAACTCCTGTCTATCCTGCTATAGTTTGTGGATGTTAACCAGTTTTGCAGGTTCTAGTTGTGCTTCATGCAGCCCTCAGAACAGTTGAAACCTGAATGTCACCCATTCACACTGACCATTTGATATCACAGAAGATGAATGTGTGGACTGCTTTCACTGCCAACCTCCGGGTAGACAGCAAAGGGAAGAGGAGCTGGCCAGAATCCTGTTGGGTTCCTGTAGTGTGAATTCAACATTATATAACTGATCATTCCAGCTATTGTTGCACACTCAGAAATTCCCAGATCATGGACTCATTTGCAATTCCAACGAAACTTTATGTAAAATTTCAGAGTAGTAATCATCTGGAGGGATCCACGGGAATTCTGCACATACCTTTTGCATTTCAGTTCCCATTCACCCCAGAATTGCATCCCCACCTACTCAACCACCCACTCAAAGATATACATCAATCAATGCATCAATCAATTAATTAATATGCCGCCTACACTACCCAAAGGTCTCTGGGCGGCTTACAACATTTAAAATACAATAAAAATTCAACATTTAAAATGCAATTAAATATATATATATAAAAATTGCCATCGGACCCACAGCTAATATTATTTCAATTAAAAGCCTTCTGGAACAGGAAGGTTTTGACTTGG